ACCCTCCCCAGCCTGGTCCTGGTGAGCTTCCCAGCCCAGTGCCAGGGATTCCCAGCCCAGCCCCGGTCAGCTTCCCAGTCCAGTCCTAACACCCTTCCCAGCCCATTCCCAGTAAGCTTCTCATCACAGTGCCAGTGAACTTCCCAGCCCAATCCCAGTGAGCTTCCCAGCCCAATCCCAGTGAGCTTCCCAGCCCAATCCCAGTGAGCTTCCCAGCCCAGTGCCAGCACACTCCCCAGCCCAGTTCAGGCACGCTTCCCAGCCTGGTCCTGGTGAGCTTCCCAGCCCAGTGCCAGTGATTCCCACTGCAGCCCCGGTCAGCTTCCCAGTCCAGTCCTGACACCCTTCCCAGCCCATTCCCAGTAAGCTTCTCATCACAGTGCCAGTGAACTTCCCAGCCCAATCCCAGTAAGCTTCCCAGCCCATTCCCAGTGAGCTTCCCAGCCCAGTGCCAGCACACTCCCCAGCCCAGTTCAGGCACGCTTCCCAGCCTGGTCCTGGTGAGCTTCCCAGCCCAGTCCCAGCGATTCCCACCGCAGCCCCGGTCAGCTTCCCAGTCCAGTCCTGACACCCTTCCCAGCCCATTCCCAGTAAGCTTCTCATCACAGTGCCAGTGAACTTCCCAGTCCAGTCCCAGTAAGCTTCCCAGCCCAATCCCAGTAAGCTTCACAGCCCAGTGCCAGCACGCTTCCCAGCCCAGTGCGAGCACGCTCCCCAGCCCAGTTCAGGCACGCTTCCCAGCCTGGTCCTGGTGAGCTTCCCAGCCCAGTGCCAGTGACTCCCACCACAGCCCCAGTCAGCTTCTCAGTCCAGTCCTGACACCCTTCCCAGCCCATTCCCAGTAAGCTTCCCAGCCCAATCCCAGTAAGTTTACCAGCCCAGTGCTGGCGCACTCTCAAGCCCAGTCCCAGTGAGCTTCCCAGCCTGGTCCCGGTGAGCTTCCCAGCCCAGTCCCAGTGATTCCCATCCCAGCCCCGGCGCACTCCCCAGTCCATTCCCAAAACCCTTCCCAGCCCAGTCCCAGTGCACTTCCCAGCCCATTACCAACACCCTTCCCACCCCATTCCCAGTAAGCTTCCCAGCCCAGTGCCGGCATGCTGTCCAGCCCAATCCAGGCACGCTTCCCAGCCCAGCCCCAGTGCACTCCCCAGTCCAATCCTGGCAGTCCTGGTGAGCTTCCCAGTCCAGTCCCAGTGCACTTCCTAGCCCAACACCAGCACGCTCCCCAGCCTGGTCCTGGCGAGTTTCCCAGCCCAGTGCTGGCACGCTCCCCACTCCAAACCAGGCACGTTTCCCAGCTCAGTCCCAGTGAACTTCCCAGCCCAGTCCCGGCAAGCTTCCCAGCCCAGTGCCGGCGAGCTTCCCAGCCCAGTGCCGGTGAGCTTCCCAGCCCCCTTCTCCACCACCAAGCCCTTCTCCACCACCAAGCCCTTCTCCACCACCAAGCCCCCTTCTCCATCACCAAGCCCCCTTCTCCACCACCAAGCCCTTCTCCACCACCAAGCCCTTCTCCACCACCAAGCCCTTCTCCATCACCAAGCCCCCTTCTCCACCACCAAGCCCTTCTCCACCACCAAGCCCTTCTCCACCACCAAGCCCTTCTCCATCACCAAGCCCCCTTCTCCACCACCAAGCCCTTCTCCATCCTCCATCCCCAAGCCCCCTTCTCCACCACCAAGCCCTTCTCCATCACCAAGCCCTTCTCCATCACCAAGCCCCCTTCTCCACCACCAAGCCCTTCTCCACCACCAAGCCCCAGGTTCGCCGGCACACCCAAATTTCTCTTAATTCCCCTTCTCCAGCACCAGGACGGAGTTATTTTCTACATGGGTCACTTTGGTAACGACGGGACTTGAATTTAGCCCTCGAAGGATGTTCTAAGTGATCAGCGCTAAGGAGGTGGCTCCAGTGGAGCCGGAGGACGGGCTCGCAGGGAAGCGCTCCAGAGGCCAAATAAAGGTGTGTGTACAGAAAGGCACGAAGAAAGTAAACTGGAAAATAAAGCCTGGCCTGGCTGGATTAAGCCTGGGCCTAAATGCTCCCGGGATTTCAAGCTCCATCACCTTCCCACCACCCACTTGGGCTGCAGGGGTGACCTGGAAGGGGAAAACGGCCCTTTTTTGGGGATGGGAGCAGGGAGGAGAAGCCAAACCCCAGCTGACCACCAAGCCCGACGGATGGGAGAGCCGCGAGGCGAAGCACGGCCACAACCGCTGCCCCGGCACAGGCAGCTCAGGCGAAACCCTGCTCCCCGTGGCCGGAGCACGTGGGATGGGGGGAAAAAAAACAGTGCCAAGAGCTGCAGGGGAAGATGAGGAAGAGAAACAGAAACGCTATTTCCAAGCTGTTACTTGTGCCAAGGTGCTGATTTCTGTTGACACCAAAATTCATCTTTTTTAACAGCAAAACCTCCTCCCGAAGGGCTTTAGCCTGCCTTGACGGGACCGCAGCGCTCCCGACATCCAAAGCCGTGCCGCCCGCCAGGAAAACCCTCAACGCAAGAAAAGACCCAAAAATGGGGGTTATCGCCATTTCCCAGCCAGGCAAAACCCCTCCAAGAGGAGCGGCGGGGA